GCCTCGTTTGGCGTTCTCGCCTTTTCGGGGTTTGTTCCCCTCTCTTTCCTCTTCATTTCCATGCCTCTTCACATTCCGGCCTTCCCGGCCATTTCCGACCCTCTCGGGAGTTGACTTTTCGGTTGACTCTTCGTATTCCGACCCGGTTTTCCTTTTCCGGTCCATTTTCACACCACTCTCTTCATGGTGGACGACATTCCACATGGCGGGACTCCCCCGGACCACGAGATGGATCCCGGGGTCAAGCTCTTACCACTGAGCGAGCGCCCGTTCGACCCGGCGACCTACCGGCCGGCGATCCACGTTCTGCCCCCAGACGGCCTGCGTCAGTTCCGGAGCTTTGAGAGGTACGCGGCGCCTGAGCTACTACTACGCGAGCCTACCTCCCACCTTTCATTCGGCACTTCCGAGGTAATTCTTTGTCTTCTGTTTTACTTTCTGCAATGTAGGATACAAAACTGCCATAGTTAGTTGTACTCTTTAACTGCTGAAATCTGATGTGCGGTAGACCGTAGTTGACTGTAAACATACATACAACTGATATCTGCTTGAGACTGACACATGCACACACACTGCACTAGCCCTGAATCACTCAAACACACTGTACTCACTGTATTTCACTGCATACACATTGGCACCCAGTATTTGTCTGAATCGGTCAAACTTGCACACATACCACATCTGTTCTGGAACACCCAAACACGCTGACACAGCACACGTATTTCACTGCAAGCACACCGGCACCCAGTATTTGCCTGAATCTGACAATCTTGCATACATGCCATATCTGTCCTTTCAAAACTACATTTTGAATGTTGTCTTGCAATTGTCATTTTCTGTTTGCAGGAGGGTTCCCATACCATTCGCGGGTATGGGAATACTGGTGCGCGGGAGTGGTATGATGAGCTCCCTGATGCGGTCCAGCGCATCGTGGACCGGGCGGGCTTCGGCACCTTCTGCCGAGGGCTCTCCAGGTTGTCCACATGCATACCTCTACTTGCTGCTTTGGCGGAGAGGTGGTGGGACACCACCGATTCTTTCCACTTTTCTGCTGCAGGGGACATGACGATGACCCCTTATGACTTCTCGATGCTCACAGGCATCGGGGTAGGGGGTGATCCGATCCCTTTCGACACAGACATGGATGAGTGGACCGCTGCTCAGGTCCACCTACTGGGGGAGGCCCCACCGCTAGCTCGTCCAACCTTCATCTGATACTCCTGGTTCGAGACACAGTTTCGGGTCCATCCCGCATTGGGGGAGGAGACTCAGATGACCGAGGAGGACGTGGAGAGGTATGCTCGCGGCTTCCTCATGTTCCTTTTCGGGACTACCATCTTCGCCGACCGGGCGAACACCGTGCCTCTCTGTCTTCTCAGCGCACTGGTGGACGTCCGGGACATCTTGCACTATGACTGGGGCGGCGCTGCTCTGGCCACCCTGTACGGCTATATGAGCTCGGCTTCTTGTGGCAGCGGCCAGCTGCTCGGAGGTTACTGGCGAGCTTGGGAGGTACATTTCTTCTCTGCGTTTTCACTTCTGTCTCGTACTTTCTGTACTCTGTACACTGCACACACTGCGGTCTGCTTTACACTTACTGTATACTGCTCACACTGTACACTGTACTGTACACTGCACACAATACACTGCACGACACACGGCTCTGCTATTTCTGCTTTATTCTGTATATCCTGCTTTATCTGATGGTCATACTGACATCTGTTTTGCAGTTGTGGGTTTACGCCTACTTCCCTAGGCTTGCACCCGTACCAGTCGCGGAGCCTCCTCCGGCTGTCCCGTTCTCGAGTCGCTTTGACGGGAGATGCACCCGGCGACCACGGGAGACGTTCGGCTTCTTCCGCCGATATTTTGACACCATCACCCCCACAGAGGTATACTTTACTCTCAGTTCGTTTAGCTTCGCTTTCCCACTGCATGTTTCAATAACAGTAGATAACAAACTGTCTGTCACTTTCAGATCACATGGCGGCCATGGGCTTCGCTGCCGTCGGCGATGCGGGGTCGGTTCCCTGGTGCTGAGGAGACCTCGCGTTTTCCGGATTTTGCTAGAGGGTCCGGTCTGTCGGGCTTGGTATTTTGGAGAGCGCTTTCTGCGTCAGACCCTTGGTTTGCCTGAGCAGATAGTCCCGAGGCCACCTCCTACCTATACGAGGGCCACTGAGAGGTACACCCTGTAGCAGATGATGGATTTCACTATCGGCTGGGACACTGACTTTTTCAGGGATGAGGGCGACTATAGCATCTTCATCCAAACTTATCTCATGCGGCCTCTAGCTAGTGCTCGCTGGGTTGAGAGAGAGAGGCCTGCAGCGCCAGCAGGAGGAGTAGGAGCACCGAGGACGACTCAGGCCCGTGATCGGAGTGGTTCCCGGGGGAGACGCAGAGTGAAGTGGCCAGAGCTGCCCACCACCATGACATGCCGACCCCGATTTACCTCCGGTATGTATTACTGCATTTTGTACAGTTATTCAATTCAGTTTACTTGATATTCCACAGAATATTGATGCATTTGATACTTTTGCAGGTTTCTTCTAGGTACACCCGTCAGTCGTTGGCGATGAATGCCTCGATGATGGGGATGCTCCAGCGGACTTTTGACCTCCTAGCCGTCTACAGCATACCGGTATGTCCTTCTGACACTGGCCTCAAACCATTCATACACTGCTTCGCATAATCTGATGCACAGCACAACACCTGATACACTGATCTCACAGCATCTGACACACAGTGTATGAATGCTTCTGCACCGTACCCTACACTGATAAACTGCTCACGGCATTCATACACTGTACTCACACACTGCATTCTGCACTGATAAACTGCTCACGGCATACTGATGCATTTCCCTTTTCGTGTACTTTTCAGCCTCCTTTCCAGATTCCCATGGCAGGAGGTGCTCCAGCTGGGCATTCTGTCCCTGCTCAGGGGAGAGATGAGGAGGGCAGGATATTTCCCCGTACCAGGGGAGGGCGTACTTATGTTGGGAGTAGCTCGCGAGCTCTAGTCCCGGATGATGACGACGACGAGGAGTCAGAGGCGGAGGCAGAGGCGGAGTCTGAGTCATCGGAGGAGGAGACCGGAGGCGATTCTAGCTCGGGCTCTGACGACGACGCTGATGATGCTCCTGGACCCTCGTCCAGGAAGAGGACCAGGACAGACTGACAGCCCTTGGAGTACTCGACACAGATGCAGATTTTTGCTATCTGCTTTTTTTTTCTTTGTACTTTTCTTTTTGTTGGTAGATAGATTACCTTGTACTGCCGCAGGCAGATTTTGTTTCCAGAACTTGTACATTTGAAAAGATAGTGAAATGAAACATACTTTTTATCTGAAAAAGTGTTTACATTTATACATCTCATGCATTGCCTCGCATCTCATCATGTTACACCTCAATGTAAATGGAATTGATTGGTTGTCTGAAAATTAAACGCTTGCACTGTAATAATCAGATAACTAGACAGCCAACAGCAAAATAACCCAAGCAACCCACTGCCTGATTCTGGACACACAACCCTTGCTTTACTGGGGATTAATCTGCACACAGCCCATAACACAGCATTCGATTCATTCTGCACACGGCAATTCTAAACAAAACAACCCAATCTGACAAGACGGCCTCAAAGGTGGAACCGGTTGAAGTTAAGACATGCTCGAATGTAGAGAATGGCACAGCATTCTTGAGTATAAATGATTTTTGAAATCGAATGAGGGTTTTTCAAACCGGGATATCGAGCCTACCACTGAACACAGCGGGGAGGACTCAAACAAAGAGGTACACGACCTAAACACAACGAGATACGCTCGGGAGAGACTCAAAACAAAAGACGAGACCGTCAAATGAAAGAGACACACACACAGACGCGTAAACGAAGATGGGAGACCTCGGACCACGAGGAGCCAGTTCAACCTGGGTATTGTTTCCCACCCTTTCGGATTTGTGATCCTCACATCACTCGACTCTCAAGCTCGGATTTTCCCTCGAAACCCTTCTCCTCACTTTTCTCTCAACTTACACGTCTCTATTCTTCAATCTCTCATTCTTCATCCCTCCCCGGGGTGATTGATGGATGAACAGGAAGTTGCGGGTTCACGCACGATGCCGTTAGCTCACCGCTATTTCTTCTGGCGGGCAGAGCGCTCTTCTGGCAAGTACGTCGGTGACGGGGGAAAGACAGAACGCCTGGCTCAACTGTGCCCCTAGTTCATCATTTTAACCATTCTTTCGTTTTTGCTTTCTACTAAAACGGTTTTGATCAAAACGAGAGTCGGATTAACGCACTTGTTCAATTTTTGATTTGAAAAGCATGCAAGTCAGGCAGCAAGTACTGAAAATTTTCCTTTTTGGGTCCAAAACAATGGTCCGATTTTGGAAAAATGGAATAGTTTGCGAGAAAATAGTCAACTTCAGTAAAAATTTTCAAAAACTATTTTTCGAACAGCTGATGCTTGACAAGCATGGAGCTTACCCTTTGGGATGCGCAACCTCGGATCGAAGGCAATGGAAAATTGCCCCTGGTTTGAAGGGGGGGAGAGGCAACGGAAAGTTGCCCCTAGTTTGAATGGCGTCTCACGACGGCTTGTGGCAACGGAAAGTTGCCCCTTGTTTGGATGGTGCCGCAGCAGTCCACAGACAGTCTTCATTGGCGGTGGTCGAACTTTCGGACACAGAGATGACGAAGACGATCACAACACATATATGGACACAATCACCTTTGGAGGGTGTTGGCGGCTGGACTTTGGGGATGAAATCGAAACCATTGCATGGACTGAGACGCTATGAAAGCGTTGGGGGCTGGACTTCATGATGAAGTTGCCTACGTATCCCAAACATGGGAATCAAGCCTTACGTAGTTCCGGTTAAGGTCCACTCGGGTATTTTAACCTTCACTTTGTTTGGCTCTTATTTTTGCCAAGGCGCCCAATGCGGGTTTTCGACCTTGCGAGCTTCTTTTCATTTTCTATTTCT